TGCTTTTTTCTCAGCAGCTTGTAAGCCCACTTGCTTCCGGCTGTGGAGACCAGCAATGCCTCCTCACTGCCCCACCTCATGGGTACATCAGGATATGTCACCTTAGTCCTTAGGGACCTCAGCTGCCTTTCCCTTCAAAAGGACATTACACTGGTTGAGGACATTGAGGACATTATGCTGACCAGACCTAGTGACCCTGAAGTACCATAGACATTTTGGGAAGACATTTGCACCTCAGAGGGCAGGAAATAAAACTGGTGAAAATTCAAATGGAAACTTCAGTGAAATTTCTAAGGATCTGGCAGTGTGGGGCATGTCAAAATTTCCCTTCTGCTGTAGCATCTAGACCCTCATATAACTTTAAAAGATACATAATATCTCCTGGGCCTCTTTGGATTCTTTTTCCAATATTGGGGATTACACTCAGGGCCTTTGCATTGAGATACATCTCCAGGTTTTTTGTTTTGTTTTATTTTGGGGTTTTTTTGGTACTGGGGATTGAACTCAGGACCTCGTGCTTGTCAGGCAGGCACTGTGCAACTAACCTACATCCTTGGCCCTGTTTGTTTTTTGAGACAGGGTCTCAATTTCCCAGGCTAAACTCGAACTTATAGTGCTCCTGTCTCAGCTTCCCACAGTGCTAGGATTACAGGCACACAAACCACGCTTAGCTCCTCTTTGGACTTTGAAGACAACATATTCACCATTCATGTGTGCACCACTGTGTGTGCTACATTTACTGAGTAACCCAAAGAGCTGCTGGTTTGGGGAGGGTCCCTGAAAAGAAGCCCACTGTGCAGGATACTCTGCCACTGGGGCTACATGATCCAACAGACCTAATGGTACCTGAAGTGGCAGTGGCAGATGGAGAAGCTTCAGCCTTGAAGGCCCTGCACAATGGAGGAAGGAAATTGCACCCAGAATATGGCAGGTCCCTTAGGGTGTCTTTTAGTTCCAAGGAAATGAAAACTGTAACAATCCAATTCAGGAAAGACTCCTAATGTCCCAGGCCTTTCAAGAATGGAGGTCTGGGGGCTTCCCACCAGGCAAAGAGCCACAACCAGTTCTGAGGTGCATGCAGAGGGAAGAGTAAATACAGAATGAGTCATGGAAGAAGGGAGGTATAAATGCCAGCTACGATCATAGGGCCAGTGTAGAAATGAGGGCTATGGGCATTTATCCTTATTTTGTTATGAATGTATTTGCATGTGCATATACTGTATATATATAATTTTTTTTCTTATTACCTGTCATCAAATATAAAGTATGTCAATAATAGCTAACTTTACATCACACACACACACACACACACACACACACACACACACACTAGCAGAAGAGTGAACATTACCCAAGAACTTTGAATTCTCTTCTGGGAAGTTAGACAATTTCAGTTGCACACAGGATAACTATCACGATAGGTGTAAATGTGAGTGTATTATCAGCTTTATTTGCAGATTTGATGTGGCTTAAGAAAATGTGTGTGGGTGCCAAGTTGACGAGACATTGACTGTGATGGTCAGTTTTACGTCAGGTTGGATGGGACCAAGAATCTACTTTAAAACAGGGCTCTAGGTGTTGCTGTGACACTACTCTGTAGGTGTGGTTTACGTTTGCAGTCCATTAACTTTACACAAAGGGTAACATGGGATAACACAGGTAGGCCTGATCTGTCAGTCGAAAGGCCTGCAGTTTCCCTGAAGAAATTCCACCATGGACTGCAATGTCAGCTCCTGTCTGAGTTTCCAGCTTTTCCTCCTCACAGCCTGTCCTCCTGACTTTGAACTTGCCTAGCCAGCCCCAACTACATAAACCAGTTCCTTGTGATAGAAAGATATAGCTGGATGACAGACAAGATAGATATCCTACTGGTTGTTTCCTGAGTAGGATTCTGATACACAAATCAGACCAAGGTGTACATTCCAATTTCCCAAACATCCATTTGACCTTAAGTAAGTTAATTTCCTTCCCTACGCAATTGGGCAGGGCGGGCAAAGACTGGTGGAAGGGCCTGCAAGAGGAACTTGTCTTCTTAGAATCTTTTATTATTATTATATTTTGGTACCGGGGATCGGACTCGGGTCCTTGTGCTTACAGAGCAGGCAGTGGAATCACTGAGCTAAATCCCCGGCCCAGAATCCTTTATTCTTTCCCCAGGCTTTATTAGACATCCTGATAATCAATATCTTCATCTTCACTCGAATCATTATCCCTTTCCAATTTCAAATATTTTCATATTTATGATGTCATTTTATCCTCATAATCCCCCTTTAGGAAAGGCAGGTATTACCTCCATTTTATAGATGATAGAATTGAGGCTCAGAGGTAAAGCAACTTGTCCAGGTTCATACTGTGGGTAAGTGTTGGAGCTGGGACTCAATCCCAGGCCTTGATTCTAGGTCCTACATTCCACTCACATCTAAGGGAGCAGTGGCCAGCAGCCCCATCACAAATGCTACAACCTTTGGACAAAATGAGGGAGCATTTCGGGTTCTTTGATCTTATGACCCTCCCTACATTGGCACATGGCAGTCTGTGGACATCAGTGTGGACACCAAGCCCACATACATACAAAGATAGTCACACAAGTACACTCGAGCTCTTCAACAGGTGCTAAGGAGGCTGTGCCCTTAGTTGATGGGAGGCCTAAGAAATCACAACTCAGGGAGTCTGTTCTCCTAAGACCAGAAGACTCATTATCCCTCTCATAAGTCCTAACAGAAGAAAGAGCAACTCAGGGAGGAATGAGGGTAGATTCCCCTCCCTACTCTTGCCAGAGCCCCAGGGAAAGGAATGGGAGTGGAACTAGAGATTCACTACTCAACTCAAGAGCTGGGTGTGCTTCTTACAGAGTGTCAGGGAGGCCCCTGCCGTCCAACCCAGTTAAACCCTTCTGGGTCACAGTGCTGAGTTCTGGCAATGCTACCTATGTGGGCTTTGGCAAGTCACTAACCCTTCCTGGTTTGCTTTATCCCAAAATGTGGCTAATGACTGTGGGACTGGGCCCTGAGAGGTGTTCTTGAGGGGTTAGAGACATAAATGAGCTGTAATCCCTTAATACTGAAATGCATCATTCTTCCACAGCTGAGGCTTGAACACACTTGGGTAGCGACCCTCTGTTTTCCAAGCAGCAGGAAACACACAGGGCTTGGGCAGCAGAGTCACCAAGATGGGGCATTAGTCTCTTCAGGAAAGGCCAGGCGCCCCCGACCCCTGGGGCAAAGAGGCTGCTCAGGCTTTCTTTTTTCATTTGACCAGTTGTTAGTTATCAAGCACTTCCTACAAAATAGGCACTGCCCTGTGTGCTTGAAAATAAAGCAATTGAGAAAAGAGAAAATGAGCTCACGGAGCTTATATTTTACTTGTGGGAGGACAAGTAAACAAATACGTAGGCAGGCATTGTTGGCATGTGTCTGGGGAATTAAAGTAGGGAAAGTTAATAGTGATGGGGAGAGATGTCAGGAGAGCGCCTCTGGGAAAGAGTTGAGCAGACATGAAGGAAGTGAGGAAATACATTAGAGAACAGTCACACCTTAGATCTGGGCTAAGGCCACTAGGGTTCAGGGGACCGAGACCAATAGCACCATGACAACAGACAATTCTCTCTCCTGCTGGTTATGCAGCCTTCTCTTCCTTGTTGGGGAGGTGGAGTGGGGGGCTGACCCCTACAGACTGCACCCCTGGGTTAGCCAACTGGGGACCCCAGACTGGAGAGCAGGGTAGAGAAAGAAGTTGGGATAGTGATACTCCCACTCCCTGCCATGCCACAGTTGGGTGGCTGCTTTCTCCTGTGAGAATTCCACAATCCTCATCTGTCTTCTCCGGCCCCTTCCATGCCTCCTCATGTCCTTTCCCCATGGGACCCCACGAGGAGAAACCCCTGCAGAATTAGCTTCCCAGAGGACCACTGTGTGCCACCTGTCCACACACAGCACCTGGACTGTCTCTTCTGTTAGGTCAGAAGTGCATGAGTTTTGGCCCTAGGGTTCCATCATCCCAGGTGAACTGTGAACTGTGTCCTCACCTCCCCCTAAGGCTCTGGCTCTGTCAAAGTACTCACCTACAGGCAAAGGCAGCAGCAGACAACAGCTCTACAGTCCCTTGTCTTAATCCCTTAAGACTTCACTGCCCTAGAGACAGTGCTGGAGCTGTCTCCCCAGTCATGGCCAACTCCCAGCTGAAGGAATCCTGTCTCCCTACCTCCAATATTCAATAGCTCCTCACCCAGTTTACTTCCTTGATAACCCTTTTATCACTTTTGGGAAAAGCTTATCAACACTGTGTCTGCTCCACCTATTAGAATGCATATTCCACAGAAGAATGGGACTTTCCTGTGTCACTGTGTGTGAACAGCATCTAGGCCCAAGCACACAAGAACTCAAGTGCTGTTGAATGAATGAATGATGAAGTACATCAGGTTCCTCAGCACCTCCATCAGGACCATGACCACGAGCCCAGTGAGGGCTTACACTCCCAGAAGCAGGTGCTCCGGAGTCTTGGTCCTGTTGACTTCTCCGGTTGTGTGTGGAGGTAGGAACACCCAAGTAGAACAAGCAGGATAACCTTAAAAAGACAATCACTTTCAATCCATTCAGCAGCTCCAACTATTCCATTTCTGAATAGAGCAGAACTTGATTAACAGAGTCTCCAGGATCAGGGAAGTCTCCTAGAAGAGGGAGGAGGGCTACGAACTTTAGTCAAAGGTTCTAAGAAGCCAAGCTCAGGTAGGTCTAGGACAGCAGCATCTACTACTCCAAAGGTGCCTAAGGTGGCTCACCCAGCCATCCCCACCAAGACAGTGAGGACCCAGGAACCCCTGCGGGTGAGTGCTGCTGTTCATTCTGCCTGGGCCCTACAAATAAATCCTGCTTTGAGCCAACTGGTATCACTGGCCTAGAATTGTCAATTCCCATCCCACTCCATCCTAGATACCACCACTCCCACCGTGTGACACCACTGTCACTAGGACCACTCTTTAGCCCCAAAGAAATCCAAACAGCTGAGGTGCATCAATCAACCTTTAATGTCCAAAAGAGGCATGGATGCAGAGCATAGGGGGTGTGGCAGGGTCTCAGCCCCTGCTCCAGAAATGAGGGAGACAAACACAAACCAGATACTTTCAACTGGCCACACAAAGTCTGGGAGGGCAGGGGCAAACATAGATTTGGACATTTATTAAAAAATAAAACCTAAAATCAAACAGTCTTGTACCCGCTGAAGGGTTTGATACAGGGAGCTCAGTCATCACCCCAGTTTCTACCCTCCCCTATCAGCACTGAAAAGAAGGCTCAGCACACACTAAGGGCTTGGGGTGGGAACACTCCTTTCTCCCCACCAGCCCCAAGAATGGACTGGGGAAAAAAAAAAAAAAAGAGCTGGATCCCCTACCCCCACAGTGTCAACCCTACACATGAGAGTTTTAAATGTGTCACGAGAATCAGCAGCTCAGTCAGCAACGACCACCCCCCACCCCATTCCCCCTGTCAACAGACAAGACTTCCCCTGCCTCCTCCATGGAATCTCCTCTTGCTCACAGCCTTACTCCATCTCCTGATATCTGGGACTTCACTACAAACTGACCTCCAAAGTTCTACCGAAGCCCCTCTTGGCCCTTTATTATTTCCATCCCTACCTCCCACAGGAGGCTGCAACCATTCAAAATCACTTCCCCTCTACTGGGGCCCAGCTTCAGGACAGACAGCAGCATGGTTTGTCCTCCTAAAGCCTTCTCAGGGAGCAAACAGCCAGAGGGCAAATAGTGTCTGAGCTAAATGACTGAGGAAGTGACACTTGTCTTCCCCCCACAACAGACACTACCAGAGGTGTTTAACATAAAGGCCCACTTAGAACTGTGCTTCCTACTACCACACACCCTAGAGATTCCGCCTGCTTGCCCCCCCCAAACCCACACACACACACGCACACACACATACAACACAAAGAATCAAGGGAGACATTGATTTGGTTTGATTGCTAAGACCTAACTAAGGAACTACAGTCACCAGAAATTCCCTTCCCAGCCAACTAACAACAGGGGCTGTTCTAAGAGAACTTCAGAGGAATGAGAAAACCGAGGGCTAAGCAGGGAGCAGACAGGAGAGAAGGATGTAAAGAAAAAGAAGTGTCAAGCTAATTCTATCCCCAATATCCTCCTAGCACAATCTCTTGCAGAAAGAATAAAAGGTAATCCACAAAGACACAGCCCTTACTTAGAAATCCTGACAAACACAGCAAGACAAGTCTGCTCCCTACTCCCACACACCAGACACATCGCAGGGCCCCTTAAGAACCCACCCCTACCCACCCTCGGCCCGAGCCATAAAATCACAGTTCAGTGGAATATTCTCCCTGGTACTAGATCGATCCCCCCACTCTCCTTTCTGTCCTTCTCTCCTTGCTTATCCTAACACTGTCCCCTCACCCTCAAAGCCTCCCTGGCCCTCCCAAAGCAGCATCCAACACCGGGAAGTGGCAGCTGCACAGTTTTAGTTCCACCTCCAGAGACCTATTTCTTTTCCTCAGCCCTCCTAGTCTTTTGAGCTTTGTTGAGGGCTATTTTGTATGGGGAGAGAAGAGAAAGAGAAAAAGGAAGGGTGAGAGAAATTTCCTAGTGCAATACAACCAAAGAAAAATTTTTTTAAGTCTTGAAAAATAAACGTAAAGCAGCCTTCTTCCCCAGGCAACTAAACAGAAAGAAGTTTGGTTTTGTTTACTGCGACGCACACATGAAATCGAGTATACAGTCCATGCAGTAGCACAGCCATTGGAGAGGACAGCCTGGTGCTGGCCCCAATGCAAAACAGTCCTGGCAACGCCACCTGCTCGCCATCGCTGCCGCCGCCACTGACACCTTCACCACAGCCACCTAGCCTGACTTGAAGAGGAGGATTGCAACTTGACCCAAGTAAAAATAGATGAAGTGCTTTGTCTCGTGTGTGACGTAGCTGCCAAAATTTCGGCCCACGATACAATGCCAGGTAGGATTATATTTCTTGTCAAATTCCTAAAAAAGGAATGAAAGGGGGAGAAGAAAGGTGATTAGGGTAGCTGGAAGACGAGAAGTCAGAATGGGAGTCTCTCCCCACAATTCCAGCACTCACATTTAGTTACCACCTCACCCCACCCCAGCGCCTCAGCTCCTGAACCTCTCAGGGGCTCAGGTTCTAAAGCTGGCTAGGACACTGCTCCCCTCATCAATAATGGAATACCACAAAGGCCTCATTACTCCTCCCTGCCAAGCCTCTAGCAAGCTACACCCTGATCACCTCTTTCCCTCTAGCTATCCACCCCTCATACCACCACTAGCCCACACTGGGATTCTTCCAAAAAGGTGATCAGAGAGGCCAGTGGAACGAAGGGCCATTCCAGCAGGCAGCATGGGGACTGTGCTGGAAGTCCCATTACTAAAACAGAATTTTCGAAGGCCAAAAGCAGATATTAGAGGAAATGAAGCCTAAATATCAGTACTAGAAACAGCGCTAAAAGCAATTTCATGCTCCCTATGTGGGCTACATGCAGCAGAACAAGGAACTCAGCCATGAGAGCAAGGCAATGCCCTCATTCCTATCAGAGGCACAAAACTGCCTCTGAGTTAATCTCTGAGCTAATCAGACAGGTACTCCCTATGGCCCTATGGCTCCGCCCATCGGCTCAGTTCTTGATGCATCTCCTTGCCATAGGGGGGCTCCAAGAGGAGCCCATCAATGCTGCCCATCTTGGGGGTCTCTCTGTCCCACAAGGTGCTCAACATACAACTTATACAACTTGTCTGGCCACCTCACAACCCCCATTCTACACAACTCCAAGAGGTACTAGGGAACAAGGAAACCAAACCCAGCTTCAATCCCAGACCAAGACTGTGTAATGCAGGAGAGCCAAAGTCATTCCCTGGGTCTCTTTTTTCCCCATCAGCAAAACAAGAAAGCTGGACCAGATAATCTAAAGATTTTTCTGGCTCTGAGAGCCTATAATTCTGCATTCTCTCCTTGGACAGGATGGCAAGGCCATCTAATAGCAAGGAGCCAGCAGTCCCAACTGGCTCTGCACCCCGTGGCTCCACTTACACACAGTTTCTCAAGACACCAGTTTCCTCTTCTCATCCCATCCATCTGGGCAGGAAAACAAAGTTCTGTAAAACTCAAAGATGACCCTACTGACAATACATGGACCAGACTGCCACTACTCTCACATTTCCTTCTTAGGATGCCAAAACTGAGACTTTCAAAAGTTTGGACTACACCTCAAGTGGACATAGGTACTGACTGGGAACCAAGAAACCCAGTTCACCTCTTATTTCTGGTTCAGCTGCCTCCCCAGTATTAATCACATCCACTCACCCATTCATTTGGGAATTTTTCAGGGACCAAACCTACCACCCCCATATTCATCACCCACTTAATTATACAATCAGCCCACTGTATCTGTGGGTTCCATATCCATGGATTCAACCAACCATGGACTGTAAATATTCAGGAAAAAAATTGTATCCATTCTCAATGTGTACAGATTTTTCCCCTTGTTATTATTCCCTAAACAATACAGTATGACTATTTAGATATGTTACATTATTTTAGTTATTATAAGTAACCCAGAATTATATGCACTGTTTTATAGGAAGTATATAAGAATCTGTGGATTTGGGTATCTGAGGGGGATCCTGGATCCAATTTCCCACAGAAAGCAAGTGATGGCTCTTTCTTCAAGCTCATCTTTTCCTTAAGAATGTAGGGAAGGGCCGGGGATTTAGCTCAGTGGTTTCGCCACCTGCTGCGCAAGTGCAAGGACCCAAGTTCGATCCCTGGTACCAAAAGAAAAAAAAAAAAAAAAAGTACGGAAAAGATGATGCAGTTACATGAGGATTATTATAAGGATACCCAACTTTTTTTTTCTAATTTTTTTTTTTTTGTACTGGGGATCAAACTCAGGTCCTTGTGCTTGCGAGGCAGGCGGCAGAACCACTGAGCTAAATACCAGGCCCTATTTTTTCTAATTTTTTGAGATGGGGTCTTGTTATGTAGTTCAGGCTGGCCTTAAACTCACAGTGGTCCTCCTGCTTCAGCCTCCTAAGTCCTAGGATTACAAGTGTGTTCCACCACACCCAGCAAGAATACCCAACTTTAAGTGATGCAGTTTCCTGAAAGTTTGTACATGATTTTATATTATTTATTCAATTATTCTTGGACAGTTCTGAATTGGGCCAGTAATTCTGAAGCTTCTCTGCCCAGTCTTATCCTTCCACAATGTCTTATAGTCACATAAATATCTGTAAATATAAATAAATATAACCTGAGCAGAGATCCCATTAAGAACTCCTAAGCTAAATGCTTTGGCAATTCAGAATCATTCTCTAATTTGTCTGCTTTGCAAGTTCCTAGGTTTTGTGTGCATGAAATATGCCCACTTTACGTCCCTGGTTCCAGTCCTCCCTGGAGTCCAGCACAGCTGCAAACCTCCACCCTTGGCCACCAGCCACAGCTATCCTGGCATACCTTCTTGATATAGGCAGCAATGTCCTTCTCTATATTGTATTTCTCCATAGCCTGCGTGGCGCAGTCAACAGCATCCTGTTGCATGTCCTCAGACATGTCTGCGTTCTTGATCACTGCCTTCCGGTCAGACATCGTGACACTGCAGAAGGAGCAGAGAAGTGAGGCTGACAACTCCACACTCTGGCCAAAGAACACAAGCTGCTGGATGGGAGGCCTCAGTGGGAAAGGGGAGTACTGAAGGTGGAAGTATAGAACACACAGACATGAAACCATCAGGAGAGGAAGCTCCTAAGCTTTTAGCAGAAACATGACTCTCACTCCTTGAAAATATAGGGAAAGTAGAAAAAAAAGCATAAGCCATCATTTTTATCACATGTAAAATGAGACTATTCCAACTCTAAAACCTATCTATCTCCAACATTCTGAACACCACTGATAGTAAAAATGATATTACAATACATCACCTACCTTACTCTTTGGGCAGGTTACTTAACTTTTGTGTTAAGTCCTCATCTGTATATTGGGGACCGTAGGATCATCCTGAAGATAAATCAGGTGGCATAACTCCTTAACAGCATAAGCCCTTGATTTAATGACTATTACTACACTACATCACTAGTATCATGGTAGAAAGATGGATTAGCTAGAAATCAGTACCCCTAATTTCTGGTCTTGTAAACACTTGTGGTCATGGATAAGTCATTTGGTCTCTGTATCAATTACCTACCTCCATTTCAGCAGTGAGGTCAGCTCTGTATTAGAGGTTGTTAAAAGAATTAACTAATTTATATGGCAGCACCTGCAAACACAAAGCATCTATACAAGGAGCTGTCCATGTGCTAGATTCAGCTGCCATGTTTTCATAAAATAAAATTCTGCAGGAACAAGCTACAGTGACAAGAGTTGAGTACTTATGAGACTGTATGGTTCCTAAAACCTAGAATATTTACTATCTGGCCCTCAACAGGAAAAAAGTTGGCAGTCTCTGTTTTACACAAACAAAAAAGGGACAGAGTACCTTCTGGGCCAACAATGTCCAATAGGGAAGAGGTAACAGTCTTCAGAACCCAGGGCTGCCATGCCCCTAAGAGAAGAGCTGGAGGGCAGCCTCAGACTCAGCCAACCATTCCCACATGCCATGCCACACCATCTCATCCTTCCCTCTACTTCCCCACTCTCCTCAATACAATGTTCAATCTTTAAACTCAATATATTTTTTGAAAGCTCTAGATTTTGGACCCAGCTCCAACAATGAGTTATCATTTCCCTGGATTTCTGGCTCATGTAAAAATACTCATTCCAAAAGTACCAAGCTATAAGGTAAAGTCAAAGGATTATGTTAGGGAATAGCTTGTTTTCCTTACAGGAATCTGAGGCCTTCTTTTCCCTAAATAACATAGGCTTGAGAGAAGCCTGAATAAATAGGGTTCAAAAAAAAAAAAAAAAAGCACCTGAGAAAGGTGAAGGTCTGTTATTATTTAACAGCCCTGTTTTATATTCCTGTCACCTGGGCCATGGCATTCATCCTGTAGAATCACAGCACCTACACAGGCCATTCCTGCGACGATAAGAAGAAGCCCTGCCTGGCAGTCTACAGTATGTGAGACACTTTGCAGCAGTAGAGGGGATGAGCTACGAAACCCTGCCCTCCGTTCTCAACCACATTTCACACAACAGAGCAGTAACAATTCCCCTCACCCCACCTCCCCAAACCACCACTGTGAGTATGCCCAGCCCAATGGACAAAAGATGCTATCAGTCTGGGCCTGCTATACAAGGAGAGATCTCTTGTGTAGATGCTGTCTGCTCCAAGATAGATCTCTGGTATCATTCCAAGCCACTCTGATCTCTAAGTCTACACTCAGGCTGGATGGGCTGAAAGTTAAAGCAGAACTCAAGACCATTATTTCAGCCTGCCCCAGATGTACAGAATGTATCCATGCTCGGCAGCCTTTGAGCCCTTGCCTGGCACTGTCAAACTAAGCAGGGCTGGTTCCACTTCAGCAGTCACTGTCAGAGCAAAGGGTCAGTGGATCAGTATCCTCTATCCCATACCCCAGAGGGGAAAAGCCTGAACCTGAGGAAGTCTCTGAACACTGTCTGGTGCTGAGAAAAGGTCAAGTGAACCCTGTCCAAGGCCTGACTAGCTGTGTGACCTTGGGCAAAGAAATGTCTACCTTTGGGGAAAAAAAGAAAAAAAAAAGAGGGCTGAAATGATATAAATGAGGCAACCTCAATGGTCTCTGATACAAGATATTACAGCAGCACAAGAGAAAATGTTATTATAAGGTTTTTTATAAACTAAGAAATACAGTGTCACCTGGTAGCCTATTCCAGATTACCACTCAGGAGGGGGCACTGTTTACAAATCCATAGGTGGGGGTGTAGGCTGGTACAGACAACGAAGTCAAAGTATGAAACTGGCACCGTTTTGCCAGCAGCTCACCTGCTCCACTGCCTCATCCCCAAAGTCCAATGGAACAACTCTGTCACAATAAAAAGCCACCTTACTCTCCAGGAGAGTGTCTGCAGTTACGTAACATTGATCTTGTGACTACAATGCCACGATTCTTCACCTCTGGCCCCTCGGGCACTCGAGAGGGGTAGGGCCCAGCCTCAACCACCCTGTCCAAGGTGCGAGTGAAAAAAGGATATAGGGACATGCCCAACTTAGTCCCTCCCTCCTGGGGAAAAAGGGACCAGAGCCTCTGTATACAAGGATGGCCAGAAGGCCCGAAGCCAGCCGCCTCGGTCACGAGCCCTCTGAAAAGCGAAAGACACTCCAGAGCAGTTCCCATCCTTTCTCCTGTTCTGGGACCCCCCCCCCCCAAAAAAGCTGAGCCTCCGAATGACATGGAGAGCCTTGCCCATTCGCCAACACACACAAATGCTCCGATTTCTTCCCTCCAGGTCGCCAGGGGGAACCGTCCCCTCCGCCACCGCGTCCTCCGGGGAGCTGCGGCCCCGAGGGCAGCACCCAGGGAATGAGCCGTCCCCTCCTCCCCACTCCCGCCCTCCCCCTCCAGGCTTGGAGCGGCGCGGAGTGACTGGGCGTCCTCGCCGCTAGAAGGACGCCCCAGAGGGTGGCAGCGAAGGAGCCGCGTCACGCCCGCGCCCTCTCCGCCTCCTCTCCCGTCCCCACACACCGGGGCCTCCAAGCCGCGGAGGGAGATTCCAGGGCTGGGGGCCGGCAGCTCCGCAGCCTGGGGCCTCGGGTGGTGCCACGAGGGTCGCCAGGGCTCGGGGTGGCGCAGGCTGGCTGGGGGGCTGGGGGCTGGGAGGGGCGCCGGGGGCGTGTGGCGGAGCCAGCCCGCTCGGCCCGAGGGTCTGCCCGGAGCGGCGAAGGCCACCTGCCGCCGGGGGACGCCCGCTCCTGCCGCTCACCTTCAGCGAGCAGAGTCCGCACGGGCCCCGGGGGAGCAGCGATGGGCTGAGGCAGAGCGCGGGCAGGGGCGGTGTCCCCTGGGCTCCTCCTGCTGCAGCAGCCGCCGCCGCCGCGGTGTCCGACTCCCGCAGCCCGGGGCCCAGCGCTCGCGCCGCCGTCCGAGCTTCCCCGGCAGTCCGAGCTCCGCCTCGCGCCGCCGGCCCGCCCGCCCGCCTTCCCGCTCCGCGCTGGCGCCTCGCCGCTCCGCTCTGCTCTGCCGCTGTGCGCGGCCGACGCGCGGCCCCGCCTGAAATAGCGCCCCGCCCCCGCCCCCCTCCCTCCCGCCGAGCGCGCCGCCGTCCGCCCTCCCTATTGGCTGAGCCCGTCCGGCCCCGCACTGCGGGCTTCTCCCCGCGCCGCTCTCGCCCCACATCTTGTTTCCTCCCACAATGCCTCGGGGCGGAGGGGGCCCGGGAAGGGGAGCTGAAGAGGGTGGGGGGAGGGAGCTGGGCCTGTCACAAGAGAAGAGAAGAAAGCAGACCCCTCTGCCCCGAGCTAGAAAGGCCAGGCCCTGGAGAGGAGGAGAGGGGGGAGAGGGAGGGCCTTGGAGTCTCAATCCCTGGGAGAAAAAAGGAAGAAAGGGGGATGGAGGTGTCAGACCCAGGGAGCAGATGGGAAGGGTTACAGGTCCCAGCCTAAGTCATCAGCCTCAGGGGAAAAGGCAGAACATCCCTTTCCCCCAGGACCCCCAAAATTGTGGGAGGAGAGGATAGCCAGCCACTTTTTGAGGTAAAGGCATAAAACAGCCCCCACGCCTCCCTCCTCTTAGATTCTGGCAAAGTCCCTTCCCCCTCCCGCTCTCTCTGCCTTTGTTCCTGAGTCTGAAGGCCACCGACCTAACTAACTCCCAGCTGGGGCCCCAGCCAGTATTTGTCTTCGGGAACGATGGAGGCAGACCCGAAGCAAAATTGTGAGAGAGAATTTTGTCTTGGGGGCTACACAGGCCTCTGCGGTCTTCTCAGGTTTATTATAGCCTTGGGGTTCTTTTGGGATAGAGGCAGAAGCCGTGTCCTCTCAGCTGACCCCACCTGTCCAGTTAGACAGGATTAGAAGGGAGTGAACAGAACCTCTAGAGGTATACACCAAAGCCTGTCAGTACTTTGAAAGTCTTAAAAATCACCCCATCCTTATCTCTCAATTTAAAGAGAAGGTAGAGCCTTTGCCAGATCAGTGCTGGTCAGACTAGGCCAACAACAGGAAAGGGGTGCCAGGCAGCAGGCCCTCTGTAGGCTCTCAAGACTGTGTGTGAACGTGCACGTTGAGTGTTGCTGCTCTCCACTACCCAGCTCACCCCCAAAGACTCCCAGGAATTGGCTTTTCTTCCCAGACTGTTTCATATAGGAAAGGTAAAGGGCCTATAGAGTCTTCACTGGGAACCAGGCATTTTGGCCGTATAGTGGAAATTTAGAAGCTGTCAGGAATAGCTCCCAATGCCCGTCTTTTCCCCTTCTCTGCCCCAAGCCGAAGTCAGAAAGTCAGACTTGCTCTGGCCCTGACCTGCTCTGGTTGGGAGAATCATAAGTTAGTGTTCATGATGTCTCAAGGGAAACCTGGAAAATCATCCCCTCTGGCCCCTGCTTTCCATAGCTGTCTTTTCCTCTCCTTAATCAAGGATTCTAGAGAAACAGGCAAGAGTATCTGACAGTAGGGTATCTGTCCCCCTCACAGAAAGGGTATTCTGATGTCAGTTCTGTATTGGGGGGCGGGTACATAAGGGGAAAGAGGAGAGAAACAAGGATGGGTTTATTTACTTAGGACTTTTGCAGAGCTAGTATTATAGGCTTCTTGGAGAAAGACAGCTAGTAATTCATTAACTTGCAGCCCTTTCCAAATCCTAAAGGTCAGGACTGATGTGTATGGTTGTGTAGGTTGTTCACTGTACAAGGGCATCTGAGGAACAAGTGAGGACTTGCACTCTACTTGCTAAGCTATATGTCCTGGTACAGGCCAGTGTCCACCTTTATGACCCTTTTCAAGTGTGCACAAAGGTGATTATGAGTCAGCAGTGGCCCTTCAAAGGCCATGCTGCCAGGGCATAAATCCTCCTTCTCCCTACTTTCCTTCCCTGGAGTACAGTAGGGAAAGAATTCAATCATTCCCAGTATGGGTTGTAGTGGGGTAGAAATAGGAGCACTAAGAACTTCAAATGACAAGAGTCAGAACCAAGACTTTTGGCTTTTCAGAAATGTGGGTCTTAGCATATACGTGTGACAAAGACTAAACTCTATAGGGTATGAGGGACACTTGTTAATAATAGTATGGTTTATAGGTAATAATAACTAACCTTTCTGGAGCCCTCTCTCTGCACCAGGCTCTATTCTCAGCATTTCAAATGCAGTGGATTCTATTTAACCCTGGGAAGTGGCTTTTGAAGTGAATATATTACTATCCCCTGCCCCCCGCCCCTGGGAGTTGAGCAAATGTCAGCCTAGGGAAGTTCTGTAACTTGCCCGAGATTATCCAGCTTGTCAGTGGCAGTACTCAAGCCCAGGCTGTGTGTTTCCAGTGCCTTCCATCTTAGACATCCCATTATAATGCCTTCTAACAACAAGGAAAAAGTATAAAGCAGGAGTTTGCCTGTCTAAATCATACCAGCATTTCCTAAATTTATCTGACTCTGAAGCTCTTTTTTATCCATGTATTAACATCTGCAAAAACCACTGTTCCACAGGACACGGTATAGAAAACTTGTGCTATACTTATTGTGGTTGTTAAGATGGAGTGTCAACTTGATTTACCTTGGATGCTGCCCCAGAGGATTAGTAAAGCCCCCTTCGCACACAGGTATGACCTTGGGTCCATTTATGGTCCCTTGACCCCCTTCTCTGGCACTGTTCCCCTGCTCAGCTTCCTGGCCAGCATGAACTAAGTTTTTTATTAAACTATACCCTTCTGCCACAATATTTCTGCTTTGGAGCCGGCTGACCATGGACTGAATCTTCCGAAACTTTGAATGAAATAAACCTCTCTTCCCTGAAGTTGTAGGTGTTGGATAATTTGTCCCAGCAATGGGAAAGCTGGCTAATACACTAATTATTGCTATTTATGTACAATGCCTACTGTCCAGGATGATTACTATGCAGTATAGTAACCATTATAATTAATACCTCAGCTTAACTTGGACCTCTTTATTTCACACTACTGTTTGTGATTGCCCAGTTTTCTCTTGTTCAGAGAGCAGTCATGTCTTTTTTGATATAGGGGGAAAAGATGTTATTCTCAAACCTGCTAGATATCCAAAGTGCGAGTTCGTGTTCTCTAAAATCGAAGAATGAATTCTAGGAACAATGGAGGTTAAGAGTAGGAAAATTTTATCGAGAGAAAGAAACCTTCTAAGAGAAACAGAAGGGGGACTGGAAAGTGAGTTGCCCGCTCACCAACTTCTCAGAGGTGTTTTATGGGACAAAGCTAAGAGGTGAGGTGGGTTCAAGGCGGGACAAAACTATAGTCAACTAGTAAGTTTATAAGCATAGTGCCGAGGATTTAGCTCAGTGGTTCCACAAGTTCAATCCCCGGTACCAAAAAAAAAAAGTATAGTTGCTTAGGTAATATTGTTTAAATGGGGATCTGATGGGGAAACAAGTCACGTAGCAAGCATACAAGGAATGAGCAAGGATTTTCGGTGGTAAGGGATGGGTCAGGGATCTTTCTTGGAAGATCTTTGTCCCCCACCCAGGTGATTGATACCTATTTAGAATATCAATCACTGCTATTCATGCTATGTAGGTGTTTCTCTTTTACAATGGTGGCTTTCAGTGAATGTGTCTTGATTGTCCTCCATGTTGGCTCCTCTCCTGTCCTCCGTGTTGGCTCAGTTGTCCTTCACGTTGGCTCCTCTCGAGCTGGCCCTGTCTGACTGCCTATAACATGTCTAATTAACTTACTTATCTACAATATTTTGACTTTAAAATCAGAGGAAATTGTTGTTTTTTCTCTCATTTAAGGGACCCTTACCCTCTGTCTACTTCATTTACTGTAAGGTCTGAACCCTGATGACCCTTTCATGCCTATACCCCTCCCCTTTGCTGTGAGTGCCTCTCAGGCTCTACACACACACACACACACACACACACACACACACACACACGCACACACACCTGGTGGTTAACAACCTTGCTCCAGGAGCCAGGATGCTTTGATTCTAACCTGTTTCTACCACTTGCCAGCTGTGCCAATCTGGCCAAGCTTTTCAATATCTCAAAGTTTCATTCTCCTCATCTGGAAATTGAGAATAATATCTATTTCGCAGAGTTAAGAGAAAATGCATGAAAACTCTTGGCATAGTGCCTGATTCATAAACGTGATTAATAAATGTTAGCCGTCATCTACATCATTCTTCCAGGCTTGTTCCCATTGCTGTATTTCTTATCTCCATTCATGGCCTCACTTCCCACGCATGAACAATCCAGAAACTTGGGAGCCTCCCCCACTATGTCTCTGTCGTCACTGCCAGGCTGTTTTTGCGATCCACATCTTTCGTTCTCATTATGGATGTCCTGCATCATATGCTCATCACCTCTCCCAGTTGGTTCCCTGTCCTCATTCTTTACTTTTCTACTGCAAATCTACACTTCAGGAGTCTGTCAAAATGCAGACCTCCTTAACAACTTCCCTGTTCTCTGCTCCGAATAACAACTATGCCCTTTCACACACCTGCCTCTCTGCCTTATCTCCCACGCTTACCATCTCACTTTTCCTGTTCTAGTAACATTGTCAACTTCCTGTGTTTCCCCCCTCGCCTGTGAGGTTCATAGTTTTCTTTGGGGCTTACTCCTTTGTTTGGGTATCATCTATGAAGCCTTCCCTGAATCCTAGGGAGAAAATGTATACTCCTCTTCTGTGCTCTGTAACATCCAGGGCTCATCACTGACTACTTTCTATTAAACTTGTCAGTCTTAACATTTGTCCGTAGTTCCTTATAGGCAGGGATCACATCTTATTTATGTGTGGTCTGCAGTAACTAACCCAGTCCCTGCAACATAGGAGTTCTCTAAGCATTGATTAAACTCGTCATGCTCATCAGTGGCTGAAAAGGACATCTTGAGGGTCACTCCATCTCTCCCTCTACCCAAAGCATGGTATGTAGGATCTTCTGTCTGTCTCCCCAGAACCAGCAATGTGTGCTATTTATACTGGGCCCTCCCTGCCCAGAACAAATCGCTAGCTAAAATAAATCATTGTCAGCCATGGAGAAAGTTCAGCCCTGATTTCTGAGTGACTTCCTCCTCACACTCTCTATGGAGTATTTGACTGAAATCTTTGTAAGTAAAGACAATCAACTCCAGCTGACTGGGTCAGAGGAAATAGATTATGGAAGTAACAGAAGGCATTTTGTCATGCCCTTTAGTTAACCTGGTCCCAGGCCTCCAGGAAATTGGAGAAGGATGGTAAAACACAGGACACTCCCATTACAGCACAAACCCTGGTGCCATCCCCCTGCTGAGGAAGTAAGCAACAAGCAACACGAACAGAATTGTTCAGATCTGCCCCAATTCCTTCCTGACTTCTTGGGTGGCCTTCCAAGACATATTTCCCTAGGCAAGTATTTATCTAGCACCAAATGTTGCCCTTCCTCCTCCCCAGACTCCCTGAAACCTGGAGGAGCCAGTCAAGGTCACTCAGGTGACTGCAAACTAAGGAAATAAGTACTGGAGTGGGAATCAGGGAAGACGTCTCAAGTCCAGTTTGGCTGCTAGTCATTTCACCTCTCAGAATCTGGCTTTCTTCATGGAGAAAATGTAGGACCAGATGGTCTATAACGTTGCTGTCTGTTGCAAAGTCTATGATTATCTGAGGTTACAAAGGGCATTTTCCTTGTGGGTCAGAGAAATTTCTCAGGCCAGGATTCACCACCTCTCATGAAGTTTAAATGCTCTTTTGCTGATCCCTGTCTCTGATCCACTCAGTCAGAATCCACACTAAATGTATTTGCTGAGAGTTAGGATATAATTTTGTTCATTTTTATATTCTCCTGAGAAACAACTTGCCTTGACCCATTCAACCATCAGTGAATCATTGAGAGCTTCAGTTAAAACAATACAGCAAATGGTCACAAAGAAGGAACCAGCCAGAAGATGCTCCAGTGGAAGTGGAGTTATCCAGGTCACAGCTCCTCGAAACTTAGGACACCCCTAAGAAATCCTGTATTTCATGGTTTTTGTTGTTGTTGTTTGTTTGTTTGTTTTGGTGGCACTGCAGATTGAACTACACTGTGCTCTGTCCCCAAATACTTTTTTTTGAGACAGAGTTTTGTTATGTAGTTCTGGCTGGTTTTGAACTCACTATGTAGCCCACGCTGGCCTTGAACTTACAGTGATCCTCTTGTCTTAGTCTCCCAAGTGCTGAGATTATAGACATGCACCACCATGCCCAGCTCTTTTTTTGAGATAGGGTCTTGCTAAATTGCCAAAGCTGAGCTCAAATTTGCAATGCTCCTGCCTCCCAGAGTGCTGCAATTGAGGTTTTCATTTATATATTTTTGATATCTAATGACACTGAGCAACATAACTGTATCTATGTCTGTGTCTGTATGTATGTCTGTACCTATGTCTTTGTCCACATCCATGTCCATATCTACGTCCATATCCATGTCTATGTCCATGTCTATGTCTATCTATATCTCACTTTGTCATCCAGGCTGGCCTCACACTTTCTGTGGACCCCAGGCTGGCCTTGAACTTGTGATCCTTCTATTCCTAGTTTGTTGCATGTTTTTATCATGAAAGGGTGATGGAATTTATTCTGCATCTATGGAAATGATCATTGGTTTTTGCCCTTTATTCTGTTAATATGGTGTATAATCCTTTTTATACGCTGCTATTTTTGTTTTGCTAGTATTTTGTTGAGAATTTTTACATCTATATTTATAATATTGATATGTAATTTTCTTGTGACATATCTGGGGAATACTAGACTCATAAGTGAGTTGGAAAATGTTCCTTCCTATTCTATTCTTTTTTTAAGTATAAAGGATTAGTTCCAATTCTTTAAACATGTAGTAGAATTCACCTGTGAAAGCACAAAACACTAATGCAATCTCTTCGTTTGTTATAGATCTATTCAGATTATCCATTTCTTGAGGTAATTTTATTTATTTGTTTGGTACCGGGGATCGAACTCGGGACCTTGCACTTGCAAGGCAGGTGGCAGAACCACTGAGCTAAATCCCCAGCCCTCTTGAGGTAATTTTAATAGTATGTGTCTAAGGCTCTGTCCACTTTATCTAGGTTATCTAATTCATCCCCCTATGGGTCATTCATAGTATTTTCTTATAATCCTTTATATGTCTTTAAAGTGGGCAATAACATCCCCTTTTTCACTCCTGATATCAGTATCTTGAGTCTACTGTCTTTTTTCTTGGCCAGTCTAGCTAAAGATTTGTCAAGGTTTTTTATCTATTAAAGGACTAACTTTTAGTTTCATAGACCTTTTTCCTATTGCTTTTTCTATTAATAAGGTATTTCTTGAATTCTCAGATGATACAAGCTGATCAGGTTAGGAGACACTCAGACTATTACTTTTAGCATCTGGATTCAAAATCAACATCTTGGCTGGTTTCCTCTAAACTAGGAATTTCTGTTTTAGTGTCTCCTATATCACGTCTATCCTGCAGTGACATGACAAAGAGATCATAGACCACCACACTATTGTTTGGTATCTGTGAAGGGTAAAAATTCCACTATATGCATAAATATTCCTTAAACACCTTTATCAAGCTCTGTGGAATGTAGCAAGGGAGACAGGGATGAATAGCTAGAAGCAGCCTTGGACTTTTGCAAGCTCATGGGGTAGTTGAGGAGTCACACAAATACACAACCTTAACACAGGTCAGACTAAATGTGACCCAAAATGAGTAAAATGCTCTGTGAGCATGGCAGGGGTTTAGGGTAGAATCAGTCTGCCTGGAAGAATCAGAGAACAGAAGAGAGTAGGATGGGGGGGGGGGGGGGGCGGGATTGAAGTAGAAAGAAGCACATGAGTCCAAGCAGGGAACTGTAGGGAGCCAGGCCTGACAGGGACACCATGTGCTGGATAAAAGAGCAGGTTATACGGAAAACCCAGGGCCAGACTCTAGAGAGCCCCAAGAATGGGCCAGGGAGCTACATCCTTGTCCTGGAGAAGCTGAGAATACATGGAAGGGCTATGAGCAGGAGAGTGACAGGATGCACCTTGCTAGGTGTAATCATTTGAATCTTGAGGCCCACACGTTGAAGGACTGGTCCTCAGACCAAGGTGCTACTGGGAGTGGGGGAAACTTCAAGAGGAGGGGCCTAGTAGAAAGAAGTTAGGTCATGGGGGTGCACCCTTAAAAGGGTTATTGAGACCAGAATCCCTATCTCTCCCTCTCCCTTCTCCTCCTTCTTCTTTATTTTTCTTCCTTTTTTCCTTCCTGCCTTCCTTCCCCTCTCTCTTTTTTTCTTTCTCCTTCTCTTTCTTCTCCTCCTCTCCCTCTCTTTCTCTCTCGCTCTCTCTCTCTCTCATTCCTGTTCACCATGAGATAAATGAACAGGCCTCCTCTATCACTCACTCTTGCCATAATGTACTGTTATGCCACAGGCCCAAAACAGCAGGGCCAAGTGATCATGGACTGAAGCCTCTGAAACCATGAGCTAAAGCAAATCTTTCCCCCCTAAAAGTTAATTATCTCAGATATTTTGTCACAGTCACAAAAAGCCAACTACCAGTAGAATTTAGAACATCAACAGAACCCTTTGTTAGGTTTTCAGACTCCATGGTGCCATCCACTCCTGTAGGAGCCAGCAAATGTGGCTGCCTTCTCCAGCTTTGATCACTCCTAGATTGGGAGTGGTGTCTTTTGGCTTCTATAGGACAGAATTTCCCTAGCTTCCTTCCTACCTCACTTCCTAGTCTCCTCTGCAGGCTCTTCTTCCTCTTCCCATCCTTTAAATGTTGGTGCTCCTTAGGGTTCTGTTCTAGATCCTTTTCTCTTCATCCTTGGTGGTATCAGATGTTTCTAGGGCTTCAGTGATCATTCATAGATTGGTAACTCTCAAATCTACAGATAGCCTGCCTAGATTTCTCTCTCCTTTAGACCTGTAAGATCTGCCATCAGAAATACCTCTACTCATTGGAATTAAGTCTAGCTATAAGTAAAGGAAAATGCCATGTATAGTGGTTCAAATAGAGTCAATGTTTGTTTCTGTTTTGGACAAAGAGTCCAAGCTGGGTATGGTGGCACAGGCCTGTGATGTCAGTACTCTGGAAAGCTGAAGCAGGAGGATCATAAAGTTTGAGTTCCACCTGGCCAATTTAGGGATACCCTGACTCAAAATAAAAAAGAGCTAGGGATGTAGCTCAGGTTCAATCCCTAGTACCACAAAAACAAACAAACAAACAAAAAAATCTAGAGACTTTAACTCTAGGCATTAGGTATAATGACTATATAATACTGTCAGGGTCTCAGAATCAGGATCTTTCTACTATGCTGCCACTTTTTTTTAAGTACTGGGATTTAGTAGCCTTCGCATTAAGCTACATCTCCAGCACGCACCCACCCCCCTTTTTGAGACAGGATTTTACTAAATTGCTAAGTTGCTAGGTCTGAGCCTGAACTCACCATCCTCTTGGATCAGCTTTATTCTGCCACTCTCAACCCTCAGCTTTCACCTCATGACCCAGGATGCTGTAAGGCTGTTCCTTCCAGCAGGAAGGAGCAGGCAGTGAGAGCATGCCTTGCCTTTAAAGACACTTCCCAGAACTCACACTATGTGTACCTATATCCTGTTGGCCAGAACTTAGAGGGCCACACATGGCTACAAGGGAGACTGACCACTATGGTCTTTACTCTGAGTGGCCGTGTGTCCATTCAAGTAAGTGGAGAGGAGAGAAAATATCAAACAGTTCTTCCATAGAGGCCCCACGAGCATCTCAAAGCCACCACATCCACTCAGCCAAGATCCATCTTTCCTGACTTCTCCATCTCCTAATGGCCCAGGCAATTCATGGTTGTTCAAGGCAGAAGCCTGGGATCTATATCTCTGAAATCTCTGTCTCAAGCCTCAAACCACTGTCATCCTCTAGATCAACTACAACAACTTTACCTCTGTTCCCCCAACCTTCATTCTTGCCCCTCAAATGCATTCTGTATATCTGCATTGACCAACACAGTATCCCTATCCATACATGGATATTCAGCATTCTGAAGGTGGCTAGTTAAATTTGAAATGTGCTATTAGTATGAAATATATATCAGATTTTGATGAATCAATATGAAAAAGCAAAATATTAATATTTCTATATTGATTATATATGTTAAAATATAACATTTTATATATTTGGTTAAATAAGATATTTTAAATTAATTTCACTAATGTTTCTTTTTTTTTTTTTGTACCAGGGATCGAACTCAGGACCTTGCACTTGCAAGGCAGGAGCAGTGCTACTGAGCCAAATCCCTGGGCCCCTTTTTACATTTAAAAAATTATAAAGAATAAAACTTTCTTTGGTTCTTGGTCCTTGAGGCTGGGAAGTCCGAGAGCTTGGCCCTGGCACCTGCTTGGCATTTGGTG